TAATAAGAGAGATAATAATTGAAAGTGTATTATAATGTGTCTCTAAATCTGCTGAAAAGAAATTTAAAGAAAATCTGTTTTGATGAAGTGGTCTTTTTTCCCCGTTATGTGTTATGATTTAAAACGGATAGTTGAAGAATAGTTCGGCACAAGATTATCATGAATTTGTTTTTGTTGAGAAAGTGTTTTTATGAAGGTATAATATTACTGTTCTTGAACTTTCTTTGAGAAATGTCAGGTGTGGTAAATACAAATTGAATGCAATTACAGAGTGATGTATCTGAGAACTCTAATAGTTGATAAGCTTTGAAAGGTTTATAGAGGAGATTAATTTGGTTTCTTGATCAAGATAGTGAAATGAATATTTGTGTGCTTGAGGCGACTTATGAACATTTTAACAACATCAAACACTTCTAATATTGGTTTATCAATATATGTCGTACCGAGTAGAAAGGCTAACTGTCATGCAAGTCATATTATGTATGTTTATTTATCTAACAATAATTTTGTTCGAAATTCAATGATGCCAAGGGCTCACTTTCTGACAATGTTTTCTCTTTGTGTGTATCTGTGTTTGGAGCAAAGGCACTCATCAGAATATATCTTGTTAAATTCTTTGTATTGGTCGAGATGATTTTCGGAGAAATATGTTAGCGATTGTAGGATGACTGGCTTCATCTCACGGCAATTTGTATTGATGATTTTGTATTGCTTCATTTGTTCATTTTCTCCGAAAAGTTAGAATTAACTAAAATAGTAGTTGTGCTCGAGATTGTTGGTTTTTCGTTGTTTTTGTAATTAATCATAATCGTTGTTACTGCGTATTGTGTCGATTGCGATTGAAACTAATTTCTCTATTATTGTTTTCGTCAAATAATTTTTTTTTCATGTCGAAAAAGCGAAAGAAGACAAGTGCTGGCGGAGCAATTAAAAATCTTGTTCCTGGAAAGAAGAAAAAATGTAAAACGTTTGTGCTTCCGGAAGGGTATGAATTATTTATTTTTGATGAAGCAACTAAAATAAAATTCTGTTCTCTAATTTAGTTATACTATGGATTCATTTGTTCGTAAAATAGACGGTTTGGTTAATAATAGTAGGTATTCGAGAGGTTGGAGAATTGTGATTTCCATGAAAATGATTTGGGTATTTTGATGGATGGTAGGCATAATGACAGTGCGAAAATAACAAAGAAAGCATTGAAGGCTTGAATGAAAAGTCAAACATTCGAAAAAGGAAGGATGTTTGCTCCTTGTTGTTAATGATTCCATATCGTCTATATCAGTTTCAATAGCTATGAATATTGATTCACAGAGGTCTAGAGGCAGATACAAGTTCTGTCTACAGTGATTCGTGAGATATCAATAAAATATGAATTGTATTTATGTCAGATGGCTTGAAAAGTGATGTCTATGTATATTTCTCTATCAGAAGGTTTAATTTATTACTTTTATGAACTGCTGATGATTATTTTCCCTTCTAGCAATAATATAATATCCTCAGATATGATTGACGATTAGAAAAGTCCATTTGGGGTAAGATGAGTCGATAGTATTCTCATTTAAAAGCTAACAGTCAGAAACGATCTCTGTTCTTTTACGCCTGAATAATCTCTTGATCGACAAAAACTTTATCGAAACATATAGTTATTCGGTTGATCTATTTACTACATAGCATAAACTATAAGATTTATACTGTAAAAAGAAGTACAAATAAACTATTATCTGTTTTCTAGAAAGAAAACTGTCAGCAAATCCACAAATAATGATGACCTATAAAAAACTAATAGAAGCAAGATGTGCATGAAAAAGAATCAATTTAGAGTTGAACGTTATTTTATGCCACTGATTGGAATGTGAAGCCCTATAATACTTGCAGAAAGTTACTCATCCATGTTGCATCGTATTAGCAAAATATGTGGAGTAAAAAGATATATTGCTGATTGAAAGCTGTTTGCGTAAAAATACAAGTCTTCAGGTTTTTCTATAACAACATTATGAATATGAAATGAAAATTTCTCGGAAAGAATATAGCATTATGTATAAAAAAATTTGACTTGATGGCAGAATGAAAATTACTCCACATTGAACATCGGCGCCATCTGTAATTGGCCTGTTTTGTTTGAATGAGGTTTGCTGATCGATTAATCGTTGGTCTCAATTGAAAATAACCGCGAATGAATACTAAGTTCTACTTCTCCGTTTTTTTTGTATGATGATAAAATATTTTCTAATTAAATTGTTTTAACTACAGTTGTTATTTCATTCATTCATTATCTTACTCTTTCAGGTGAATATTTCAGTGAAGCGATGCCATCAAAGAAAAGAAAAGAAACATTGAATAAAAATACGTTTGATTTATCTGAAAAAGGTGGAAATCATAATTGTTTTGTTGTTCCAAATGAGTATTTATTATTCAGAATAACCAAAAATTTTAAATTATTATTTACTATCTGTTTCAGTAGTACTCTGGATTCGTTTGTTCGTAATATAGAAAATTTTATTCCTACCGGTAAATTGTTGAAAATTAAAAGAATGAGTTTATTCTTATTTTCAATTTAAAGAAAAAAATGGTATGGACATGGGAAGTCCTAAATTAAAAGAAAAAATAATTCATTCTGACTCAGATCTTGATTCGGCAAAAATGTTTGGCGATGAAAAGAGTACAGAATGTGAAACTGTTAATAGCATTGATCAAGAAATCAATGGTTCATTTGAAGTACCAATGGTTCAATCAACTGATGATACTGTAACTGTTAATGAAAATCTATCTTCATTGACATCGATTTCAACAATCATTGACAATAATTTTTGTAAAGAGTTAGAATCAAGTATGTGTTGTTCAACATCAATTGATGAGGCCATATTAATTAATTATGTTTGATTTAATCAAAATAGTTAGACAATCTATATCTTTTAATATTCTTGTGGAATATAGCTGAGGAGTGATTATTTTAATAAGACAATAACATATCAAGATAGTGTTTGATTAGGAAAAAGTAGCTTTAGTAAAACTGTGATAATAATATTTCCATTTGATGTGTGAAAAGGATAGACTTATTTTATCTATTTAAACTGAAATTAGTTCGTAGTTTTGGAGAAAACAATATTTATCAACAAGTAAGTGGTCTGCTTTTTTTAGCTTTAAAATCAATTGAAACAGCAAATTCATTCTATTATTTTGTTTTTCAGTTCATCGTACAGATGGAAAAAAACCTTCTGATGATAATTCATCAAAAGTCACTTATCAACAGCTAGTTAATGAAAATTTGGAGTTAAAAAGACAAATAGAAATATATCGATCTGACTGGATGCCTAAGTATGTTATCCATTTCTGGTAACTGTTTAAAATAATATAATTCTTAATAGACCGGTTGGTAGTGCGTCGACATATTTCATAGAAATGGGCAGGCGACTTTCAAGCAATAGAAATATTGAACAAGCTGCTCATGAAAGAAAAATAGCTGACATTAGCTCGATCTTGAAATTAAGCGCTGGTCAATTAAAAAAGTACCAGCATGAGACAGATATCACGAAAACTTGTCGTAATATAACAAAATATCTCTTTCCCAACATTAGGAAAAGAGCTAAAATGTTGGTTACGTCCATGAATACAACAACACTTGAAGCAATTCGTGGTAACTGTATGAAAAATTATTTAAAAACTATAATCGTTCTATTATTGTAGATTATGCAAAACTTATGCATCCTAATCAATCAAACACATCAACGAACCAATTGAACAACGCTATAGGAAATGTGTTTGGTGCAGAGAAATATAAGCAAAATAAAAAAGCTAAAAAGACATAAATATTATTGCTTTTCAAATCTTGTTGGTTATTCCATAAAAGGTGTATTATAATAACTGAGGATAAATTGCTACACTGACAAAAGAACTTGTACGATACCGAACTAAAAAAAGTACTGTAAGCGAAAAAAGGTTCCGCGCCATGTACAAAACCTTTTTTCGTTCACAGTACTATTTTTAGTTCGGTATCGTATCAATTTGTTTTTCAGTGTAATGATATTTTTTACACTTTTTTCTTCATAGATAAAGTATAAAAAATATCACTAACAACTATCCTCAGTTATTATGATATGCTCTTTGTCTTTTTTTGTTTCTTTTTTCTGTAATTGGGCATTATTCAGGTTGGACAGTCAAACAGAAATTGCATAAACATGTTGTATTTACATATTTGACGATATTTTTTAGCTAATAATGATTGGCATGCATCAAACTACACATTTATGATGATGTCGAATTACAATAATCAACAGCCAGTTTCATATATTTCATCATGGATATTGTTATGCCCATCTTATTGTCTTGCTACTATATAACATCAAATGAAATGATTAGTCATGAATTGGTTTACATTAGAGACTATATATTCTATCTCAAAAGGCTATCTTAGATGTCCACTTTTATTCAGATATTCCGATGCTGCTTGATGTAATGAACGAAAGATAAAAAATTACAGTTGCTACATCTCGAAAGATATAGATTAAAGGAAAAACTTTCAGAAAAGCCAATTAACATATTTGCAATTTGAAATCGTCTTGTCTCATATATATATATATATATATTGTTAATAATAAAATGAAAACCAACCACCATATAATGCTCGACGGGATCAGAGTCTCGATTAATATCATAAAGCACAAATTATGCATTTCAAAAATCAAATCAATATAACCTAAGCCACTAACATCCATTGTATATAATAGTATTAAATTTATAGCCTTTCACGGTTTGTCGACTGCTTCATTTTAAGATACTTTGCAGAAAAGCACAACACTCCGAATTATTAAAGTTTCAAAATGTCCAGTCACTGTTATAATCAGCATTCTATGCACATCAATCCTATTATAGAAAATCCATGCATCATATCTATACAAAGCATCATAACACATAACGGGGAAAAAAGACCACTTCATCAAAACAGATTTTCTTTAAATTTCTTTTCAGCAGATTTAGAGACACATTATAATACACTTTCAACTATTATCTCTCTTATTAAATTAATCACAATGCTTTCCAAATAATTCTTGCGGAAGAAAATAATTTCGTAAAAAGTGCAGCTTTTCTTAATTTTGATTGCGATATTCAAATCAACTCATGTAGATGTCTACGAAAAAATAGATTTATATTCTGTCCTAACAAAATCAAATTCATAAAGCATAACAATATTTTTTTCTCAACATCCATTGAAATTAAAAGTAGAAATAATGCATTATAATGCATTAAATGAAACAATGTACCAGTATCGAAATGAAAATAATTAAAAATACTGGCATAAGAATAAATAATAATGCGTTTAACATAATTTTAATCATATTCAACTACAGATGTAATCTGTAGTTGAATTGCGTTGTTTAAAGTAATGCATTAAAGTGTAGTTTGTCCGGTGAAAAAAGAAAACAGAAAACTTTGAATATTCTTGTTTTGTTGAATTGAAACGATTAAATAAACCATGAATAATAATAATAATGATCAAATTGATGGGAAAATGCTTTTCGAACAGATAATGAAATTCTTGATAATATTGTGTGAAATTACTATTTGTTGTTGTATATTAAATTATAATATATAACAAAGGAAAAAGATCAATTTATGGAAACTGATTTTGTTTAAATTTGTTTCGTTCTGCAGAAATATAGATACATTGTGATATAGTTTCCAATTATTATTTCTCTTGCTCAATCTAGCAGAATACTTTTCAAATAACTATTGTAAATGAAAATAATTTACGTGAAAAAACTAGATACGAAAAAATAAAGTCCTATTTCATTCTAATAAAATCAACTCGATAAAATATAACAATATTTCATTTAAATGTCTATTGAAATTCTAAATGAAAATAATGCATTATAATGCATTAAAAAAATGATCGATATTGAGTGTTAATTTATTGAAATATAAAAAAGTTAAATATAATTAAAATATGATAGAAAGACTGATACTCAAAAGTAATACATTAAAATGTATTTGTATGAATGAAATTCTTAAAACAGCACTTTTGCGATGACTTTTTCTTCTTATTTACTTAATTAATATAAAACAATTAGCATATATAATACTTTTTATTAATGATGAGACTATCAATTAGATGCTTTTTTGATTAATTATGTCTTATTTTGGTCGTTAATGAATATACTAAATTGATTGGATATATAAGGAGTGTTCTATCATTCTATTCTATTTCATAAAATTTACTCGCTTGAAAAAGAATAATTCGAAAGGCCTCGCGTGAAAATATTATATTTATTATATCATTGATATTTAATTTATTTTTTGTTTCTTCCTTCTTGAATAAAACTTATTATTTTTCTTTTCTTTTCTTCTTCTTTATCTTATGCTTTATTTTTCTCCACGTTTTTTCTCTATCAATTATCAATATTAAATACTAAATAATAAATAATAAAAAAAATTCAAAAAATTATATATTTATATATTTATTTATTCTTAATACAAATTCAATTGAACATATATTTATGTTGACTTGTCAAAATTCTAAGAATTGATTATATATATATTTGTCGAACCATAACCATTTTTTGAATACGTTCGCTCAAAGAGTCAACATTGATATGCAATTTAATAATCAACCTACTCATCATTATTATCCTAGTCATATGTCTTCAACTCGTCTACCACCTCCATTAACAACATCCTATATTCATTTACGCTCTCATGTTAATCAAAAACCTATTCTATATGGTACTGCACAACGAAAACATTCACATCCTTATCGAAAATTTCAAACAGGTACAACAACAACATTTGCTGGATATACAAATATATCTAATTATAAGAAAAATAACTATTTTGAAAAAAACCACCAAGCTTATAATAATAATAATAACAACAATAATGTTCCTAATAAAATTAATGCTCTTCCTTCTTCTTCATCTATACCTGCTCTTATGTCCGTCGATTATTTTCAACAACCACCAAGAAAAAATCGTCGAAGCTTTCAACATGCTGAACAATACCGTAATCAGGCACCACCAATAATAATCAATAAATATGAAAATAATACATATAGAAGTTCATCACGATCAAATAAATTTACTGGTATTGTTTTATCTGATTCTATGTGTAAGTATGTACGAGCCGATCAGATAAGTTCACAAGGTATTCAAGTAAGAATATCTTTTGAATCTGGATGCGATTGTACTCGCATGTTAAATTATTTAGAACAACAAAGTATAGAAAAAAATTTTCTATTACAATCAAATTTTATTCTTTTTTCTCTATGTACAAATGACGTTGCTAATCTTGGTCCTAATCTTGCTATAGAATATTGTCGATTATTAATTGAACGTACTCGACAACTATTTCCTCGATTAAAATCTATCGGATGGCTAGCATTATCACCACGACACAAACCATCCAAATTATATAACTCTTCTGAAATCGATAATAAAAACAAAGAATTCAACCAACTTCTAAATAAATTATCGAATGAAATGAATTTTCAAATAATAAATGCAAATCTTCAAAAACAACACATGCACGATGATGGCCTTCATCCATCCATACATTCAGGACGTATACTTATTGAACGTGCAATAAAAAATTGGTTTTCAAAACAAAAAGATACTGTTTCATCATCTAATTTAGATAACTTTGATAAACGCAATAATTTAGCGCAGAACAATTTTAATAAACGTAATCACAACAATCAACAAAAGCAACAACACTATCGATATCAATATCAGCAAAACCAGCAATATTATAATAAACAACAACAACAACAACAACAACAACAGCACAATTATCCAATTGATATCAATAATAATAATAATACTAAAAATGTTTATCAACCATTATCATTATCAAAAAAAAGAATACAACAACAACAGCAACAACAGCAAAAAATTCCACAAGAAACACAATACAAATCGAGTAAAGTACTAATCAATCATTATCCACATTTTCTAAGACATAGAGAAGAATTCTTTCGAAAAGTATCCATTCCAGTAGAATTAGAAAAGTATAAAGAAAAAATATTTCAATTAAGTAATATACATTATCAAACAGAATATTTGAAGTTAGAGGGAGAAAAATGGAAAATCTATAAAATATCAGCAATAGACAAAGATAATAAAAATAAAAGTAATAAAGATCATGTAGAACTAATGGAAACAATTATAATAGATGATAATGATAATAATAATAATAACACTATACCAATAAGTAGACCATCACCAAATGGATTAGCAGGTCCACCTGGGCCATTAGATTTAAGTGAATATTCTGAATTTTTTGATGATTGGTTGTCTGATCCAATACCAGGACAAAAACGAAAACTCGGACATCGACGAGATGATCCACCCACACCACCATCTCCAAGAGAGCCACCACCACCAATAATCCCAAGAAAAACTTTACCACCTAGAAATGTAAATATTCCATTAACTGGAGGATCCGTTCATGGATCACCATTTTCTAATGATAGAAAACATCAGCAAAGAAATGAGCAACGTTCATTTAATGCATTATTACCATTAGAAAGACAAGAATCGAATAACGAAGAAAGGCAAATAACTATTGCCAATATAGCAACAGAATCGTCAATGATTATATCACCTATAAAAAGTTCGACACCAGAAATAAAAGAAAAATCCCCTTCAGTTATACCAAAAAATGGTATAAAGGTAACAACAACAACAACAACAACAGATATATCATTTGAATGTAAAATCATCCCTATCGAGTGTCGTTATTTTTTCAAAAATTTAAAACAAAAATATACATTTGAAAATATTGAAGCTCATCAAAAATTTCTTGAGAAAGAATACAAATCATTAGAGGACGAAAGAGAGAATAAATTGAAATTGTTCTTTCCAGAAGAAAAACGAGCTCAAGTAATTTCTCTCGTAAGAAATATTGTCGAGAAAGTTCTTGAAAAAAAACAATTAGACGATCAGAAAAGAATCGATAATCTCATCTTGGATCATAAACGTGAAAAAGCATTGCTAACAATCAGAAACATTGGAAATGAATCAGCACAGCAATACATAGAAAATTTAAAAGAAAAATTCCAGAGAACATTAGACCTGAAATTACAACTCGATAAATTAGAAAAAAGATTTGTCGAGAATATGCCACCACCATCATTGAATATATTTGATAAGTTACAGCTATACGCAAAACAGCTACAACCAGATGATAAACATCTGAGTTCGCTTAGAGAGCAGTGGAAGAAT